GGACGGTTGAATTTCACCCCACGGGCTTGGTACGCGGACTGACAGTCCTGACCTTGACCCATCGAGGGGTCATGAATTTACACTCTGATGGATTCTTGTACTAGAACGAAACAGGTGTCCAGGGATTTCAGGTTTGAAGGGATTCTCCAGCTGATGCCAGTTTGTGATAACTATGTTTGAGAACATGTGATGAGAATAGGAGTCTATGAAAAATAGGCTAGTGGAGCCGGTTAGTTTCAATCAGTTGCCTGTCAAAAACTTTGGAAGTCGAATTACTATGAAAGTTATGACAATATTATTTATTGTTATCCATTTGTGTACTTGTACCATTGATACAGAAGTTCGACAAACGTCTAAAATATCCCATTTTTACCGCACTACCGATCTAAGCGTTCAGTGAAGTGGATTCGGTTATCTAGTTGAACATTTATCTCAAAGATATTAACATCGGTTTGACTTTAAATATCTGACTGCAATTTCGACCATATTTCATGAATATACTACACTTTAGATTCCAATGAACTAATCGAATGTAAATATTTTAACCCCAAAACATTGCAAATCCTATACTTGATGCCATATGGAGTGTACCGGAAAGAAATCCAGGTCTAGGGCTGCCTGCCGATTGCCTCCAACTAACTAGAAAACTTGTAACTGATTTATTTTTAAAAATATTTTTGTCACCGACAGTTGAAAACTAATAAGGACTGTACAGTTGTGTTTCAATCTAGTTTGTAACTTGTCAATCATTTAAACCCGAAATTGCACATGTTATTGGATAAAAGACATTCCAGCATCACAGCTAGCAAGTTGTCACTTAAATATTACATAGGAATCCAACTTCCAGCTTGATCTCAATTTATTTTATTTACGAGCATTCGTCGAGATTGTAACTAGGCTTTTTTCATAAGATCAAAAGAGTAACTAATTAAATATGCTAAAAAGCTAACTTGTCACCAAGACAACAGTTGTATGTAAAATAAACTCTACTGAAAAGAATATAACATGAGTAGTAATCAGTAGCCGAGATATTTTCTCCTGTTACTAGCTATGTTTACAATAGGGATGATTATGTAATCGTGGAGCAGTTATTAAAGGTGATTATTTCTCACTTATTTACTCTGATAAGCGAAAACAAACGCAAACATACATTTAGAATAAGTATTATTTTTGGTTTATCTCCTGTTACAGTAGGTAATTAGTGTTATACCAGGGATTTAAGCAGATTTACCTATTCATCAAGAAGGTGTAAATACGTCTACGTGGGTGTTATTCTTCTATTCCTAATGGAATTAGAGACCAGTCACCTCTGAATACTACGATCTCATAAGTTTTTGGGAAGATAAGTAATATCAATACCAGAAGGATAACTATCAGTTTTGTGATTTTATTTATGTCTCTACTTGATAATCAGGTGAGAGGTGAGGAAATATTTTTTGTACATAGTTCTAGAGACTTTTTATCCATCGAGTTTGAGAAGTGATTAATTCGATATTAGTTTTCTTACTGTGAAATGATAGCAATCGACAAACCAGTAAGGATTAGAACACACTGATATTCCAATACGTCTTTTGTCCGTCAATATCAGTCAATATGGTCTCTTACAGGTAGTGTATCACGCTTTTAGTTTGTGCGCTAAGTAGCCTGACTGTAACAGTTTACATTGAAGTATGTAGAGAATACTAAAGTGTTGTAAACACATAAGTATATTGAAGAAGGTGGAAATCCTCAAAGAAATATTGTTTTATTCAAGTTATAGATGTACTTAGTTGATGAATTTCATTTTGATTTGCATATCAGATGTAACAGAGTGAGACAGTGTTATGACATCAGAATCCATGTCATTCGTGCACTTACATCCGAACATTATCCTCATTTCAGACGCTATACTGAATTCAGTATTTTCTTTAATTTCTGCCTTCTACAGCTTTTGACCAATTCTACTCTATTTCATGTTGGTATTCACCAAGGACTGATATCAGTTGATGGAACGCTAGGCAACCTGGGAGCACCGGACAGCTGTTTCGTCCTAATATGGGACTTCTGATATCAGTCCATGATGAATATCCACATGAAATCTTCTTATCTCCCTGTTACTTGATGTGTTGATTTGAGGTGTGGTAGATAGACCTTAATGTAGAAATATCTGGTCCTTTGTCGCTATTGCTGATAATGAAACAGTGTTATTTACTGAATTATATTTCAAAGGCAGATTAAGGTCCATAGTCCTACCGAGGATGCTGAGGAGTTTTATGCAACACAAAAGTGTTGGCTTCTTTCACTTGATGTCACAGTTATTATTTCTAAAAAAAGTTAATAAAATGGACCTCTATTCTACAGTATTATTTGTGTTTGTTAGACGTGGTTTTTTTGATCATGCAAAATGAATTAAGTGTTTATGGTTGTACTATGCATAACTAAGTATATATACGCCATATTTGCTCATTACATTGGATAACAAATACTTTGAATTGTCACCCAGTAGCTGGATATTCCGTTTATCAGGTAAATTAATATTTGTTGACTGAACGGTTTTAGGAATGTACGTGTTTTATGTATAGTGAGTGCTGAATTAGAATGAAAGAGTCAACTGCCTAGTTTTATCTACTTTTAAGAGGTTATGTTGTCAACCCATGGAAAAAGTTACTTGTAGACCATCCAAAAAAGATATATATATATATATATATATATATATATATATATATATATATGCTGTGAGAGATTAGTCCAGAAACTTCGTAAGTTTAAGGTGAAGTCTTCTGAAAGTCTACATTTTGTTTAGTTTGACTGAAATAAGATTGAATATGATATTGCATATCTGAACAATCTGTTTGCCTATCTAAACAAAAGGCAGAACGACTACGTCTACTGATCAGTAGATTATTGGGGTAGTAGGATATAGTTGGCTGTATTTACTCATTCTTCTTGAATTAATCTCAGTGGTCTACATTGTCTACATGGCTGACTTACAACCATTGGGTAACGGTTCAAATTAACCTTACTTGGATCAAGGCAATTAAGTGGTAACACCAGTTCTCACATGTTATGTGTGCCATATAGACTGGTGCGCAACTGTTCAATATATTGCCTTGTTATAATGTGATATCTATTAATACATTTGAGTGATGTTATGTTCCAAACATCAAATGAATTGAAAGTTATTTGGACGGAACACATGAGAAATGAACTGCTACTGTACTGCAATCAAATACTACTATTACTACTAATGTTTACTTGTGAATGAGACAAGCTAAGATGGTTTTCATTTGACATACTAATTGTAATGTAGATGGATAGTGTTTCAATAGGGAAGAAGAATACTATCGGTTGGTGGTCCTAGTTCTGTCATCAGTCAAGTTTTATTTCAAACTGATTGATTATTTCCTCAAATAATTTATTTACCAAGGATGTATAGGAAGGAAAAATTAAGGATTATCTGTCAGACAAGAAGTTGCCAACCAAAGATAAAGGCAGATATGATTACATAGGAAATCAGCTTTTGCCATTTGTAGTTTGATGATGGTTATTGTCGACTTATCAGGTGAAAAATTGTGGAATTCGGAAATATAGTTGGTGAAGATAAATATATATATTCCAAACATTTCATTTTTACTAATATTCCAAGAAGAACTAAACGAAGCTATTTTGTTCTGTGACTATACAAGCTGGATCCATGATGTCTACTTTGGTCCATACCAGGTGGTAAAAAAATGCTCAACAAACCTTATTCAACCTTAAACATGCATGAGTTCTTTAGGAGGTTTGTACCGGTATTGTTTCCAAGTCTGACTACCATGCTTCCACGAACAAGTATTAAAAGTCGAAGAAGGGCATGGAATTTTCCTTCTCTGATATGTTAATGGGTATTTTTTTTTGCATACAATGACTTTAAACAGGGCTTGAAAATTGAGTTGTCCTGTTTTTATCCCATTTTTACCGTCCAGTTACCTGTATTCTGTTTTCCTGTACACTGACAAAAATTGCTTATCCACTGAACTGACTTTTTATGACTGACAACAATATAACTAACTATGAAGTGAGGTAAGGAAGTCATTGAAGTGACATCTCTTTACGCTGAAAAGTTCTCTGTTTTACCTGAAAAATGAGTTTTGTTGGCAGTCTGGACATATTTACATAAATACTTTTTATATGCATATGCATGTGTGTTTCGCAAAGCAGAAATATGAACATTAATTAGTATACACTGATGATATGCAAATTGAAAATCTGAAACATTTCATTAATATTATGCAAATCACTGGAGTTACTGCTACTTGATGTCATTTAACATATTTAAATCAAAAAAGTTTAATTAAATTTTTAGAGAAAAAGATACTCACTTTTGCTCTATCGGTAACAAAATGCAGATGAGAAGTATCTTATCATGTAACCAAATGCCTAGATAAATATACGCTAATTAACTTCAATGTTAGTAGTATAGACGCAAATATTAGTCTTTGATTGGATATACGGTCGTTAATTATGGAAAAGTTATAATTTGATTTGACTTTCTTCCCTGTTACGCGGTGAAAGGAAACCTTGACGAATGCATAGAATAGGAAGATGGTGGTGGTGCTTACGTATAGATACATTTGTAAATTTTCCGATAGTTTCATTGCTCTATAGAGGTTAGGGCTTCTTATGCTTGGTTAATGAAGTTACTGCTAATTACTCTAGGGTTCGTATTTTTAAGTAACTGTTCCCAACGGCTACACATATTTCACAAATTAAGTATTCATGGCCTTGTATTTGATGACTTTCCATTTTTATTCACTAAAATTGAAGTGAAGGTGTGGTTGGTTGGGTTAGGTATTTAATTTCAACCAATACATCCTGCTGTCAAATCCATCTTCATCTAATTCAATCTGGGCAACTGGGTAAGCTATCAAGCAATAGTCGGGGCTTATTATCTAGTACGTAAACACCTGAGCTGTACTATTATTCATTAAACCTATCCATATTTTAATTTTAGCTTCAACATTTCTCATTCAATGAATTCGATGAGCAAAAACTCAGCCTCAGTTGATCGTGTTTCACAGAAGGAAACAGAGACTGAAATTATGAGTAAATGTGGATCTGTAAACAGTAAACACACTTAATTTGGCGGGATAACATGGACCCTTCGTTTGTTTGTAAGACTTTGATCAACTCCCCATAACCTGTAATAATTTGATAACAAATTTCTGCAGAATTGTATGGTATTTTAATTTGTCAAAAGGAATTTCATTGATAAAAAGTTTAGGTGATACAGATGTGTAGTTTAAGGTTTATAGGGATTTCATTTTAACGTGGTTTTCATCACGGACTGATATCAGAAGCGGATGCCAGTTGAAGATCATGGTGGATAGTCGCGCTATGTCATGAACTGATAGAAGTAGAAAACTATGGATCATTGAACTCCTACCCAGTGATTGAATGGTTAGCGCGTTTACCATGAAACTTGAAGGTCTTGAGATTGATTCATCGTGGGATCATGGTTGGGTACTGCTGAGGAGTCGTATACTGCGACGTGATGAATACTTCCTGAATTCAAGTTTACTGCTGACATTTATTTTCCACTGTAACTGTTAATTTTGTCTGTACTTAATTGCTCCCTATACTTGTTGGATTAATGTCAGTAAACTTAAGTTAACAATATCTCAATCAAAATTTGACGCAAATATTTTGTGGGTTGTAAGTGGCTAAGGAAAACTTTCGTAGATAGGATTAAGCTCACGTTATTCTGCTCAATTTATTGTTATTACACTTTAGGTTCATAAATGATAAGTATGAGCTGTGTAATTATCTATTGCCACTGATGGTCATCTATCCTCCTTTCTGACTTGTCTCCAGAAGTCATGACTTTACATGAGAACTTAGGAAGATTTATGTCTAAACAAGTTGCTAATGAGCAGTGGAAACAATTGATTTTAAAGTAGTTTTCATTATGAACTGATATCATTTAGAGGACTATTAAAAATCTGGCAGCAATAGACAACTGTTATATCCTAGTTCGGGGTTCTTCAGCAGTGTGTTTCCGCGAGCGTGTGAAGAATCGAGTATACGACCACTGAGTCTCAATCCCTATGAACCACTAATTGAACACATGTTTTCACCGTACGAATAAATCTGTTCATTGTTTAATGTCCGTTATTTTGGGAAATCTGTAGTCATTCCTTAAATCATAACTTCTGAGTACATATAGTTATGGATTAGACCTATTGATAGGCACTATATATTTTTGTGGAAAATTTAGGCCAACGTACAAGTGCATATATTTTTTAAACTTGACAAAAGCATCTTGAAAGACAATGAAAGCTTCACAATGAAACCACCTAGCTCAGTGAACACAATACAGCCAAGATGATCCACTTAAGCTGCAAATATTGCCCACTATTTCAATATCTAATTGTTTCTAGAAGATGAAAAAGATAATGGTTTGACGTGGAATTTAATCTCTTCCAGTAATTTAAATTCTGTATTGTGAACGTACTTAAAAGCATGTATTAAGTCTTCAGCCCCAAAGTTTCCATTATAAAAATAGGAAGAAACAGCCTATTGATTAGGGAGTACCGAGATTTAGACAGTTATACATTATTCACAAACTGCTGTCAAGTAGAGAAGCACCAAATATCAAAAAGAAATGAGAAACGTTTTCATTCAGACTGCATGATTCTGAGTAGTGCGCAATCATAATTTGAAACAGGATGGAAGTCAACACTATAATGCTTTATTGACAGTACTCTACTGTCCAAGCCCAAGTTCACTGTCTTACATTTTCTTAGTTCAGACTATTCAATAGATGATGTGATTGATATTTGATGTCATCGGTGAGATTTACATGACTGAGAAGGTATTGGTGCTTTTTTTCGATGCAATAGACTAGTTTTCAGTGGTTTGCTTGCAGGCTAGCGTCGGTTCCTGGTGAAGACTACCTTTAGGTCAATTAGTTCTATGTCAAATAATCCTTTGAGATCTTAGCTTTAGTATATTTTGAAGCCATCACAATTCCCAATGAATCATAAGTCATCTCATAACTGAACAATGGTCTGTAGTGAATATATTATTGATCCTTTTAACAGTTAATACTTCTTGTAACTTAGATTACTACTTTTATTTTTATTTGTAGGACTTGGAAGAGACGTGGAATTTAATTTACCAGAACAGTTTAAATAATTATTATGCAATTATGAATAGTTTATCAAAGTGTACAACATTGTCTGACTCAAATGACAGTCAATTATGTATTAACTCAGATCTTCTTACAACTGATAATACTGCTATGAAATTAACTTCAACTATTATTAATAATAATGATAGTACGGATAGGTATGTGGGAAATTTTAAAAATGAGTTATATTCTACTAACGAACAGAATGAGCCTATGAACTTATGCATTCGTGATCAAAGCAAATCATACTATACACAATGTTCTGCTGAAGGAAACGATATGATTAATAATGTTTACACAAGTAATATTAATTTTCATAACATCAATTTTGTTACTGATAACAAAAGTAATATTGTCAATAGTAGCAATAATTCATTTTATTTCGCTGATATTACCAATAAAATCAATACAGGATATTTAACAAACATGAATTGCATTACTAACAATAACATGACATTGCCTGACTTCAAATTACCGCCAGAAAGTTTAAACTCAGTTCTCAGAATGAATTGTAATAATATATACCAAACTATAAATTTCAATGATAACAATCATTATAACAATATAAAAAGTAATTCAATGTATTCAACGATACGTACACCATCACCAACAATAGAAAAGTCAAAAATTGATGACGTATTTCTGACATCTACACCTGTATGGTGTAATCAGATTAAAAATGATACAAAGATGATCACGTTCAGCCGGCAAGATATAAAAGAGCAACAGTGCGGAAAAGAAACTTCGGCTATGAACATCAATAGAGTGAAATGGAGAAAGTATTCACGGCATTTGAATCGCTTATCCAATTCACGCAATAAAGTTTTGTATGCCCAGAGGAAAATCGATCATAAACTGAATAATTGTCTTGATGGTAACCGTACCAGTAGTGATGATACAAATGATAACGGTAGTGAAGACAATAGGATACGTCAGTGTGAGAAACGATCAAATGGTAGGAGGCGTCGAGTTGGTTGGCGTGGAACAACAATATGCGCAAAATGTGGATTGATATTTGAGGGAATGAATCATTTAAACACTCATTATTCGCTTGTTCATGGCAATTTTCTGGCCTCAGAATTTCATTCGACACAATACTCAAATAACAAAACGTCCAAACTGCTATTTCAAGTAAGCAATAATTTCTTTTTTGTCTAGAATAATATTTGGTTTTGTGGAACATTCACAGTAGAGTTTATTAAAATATAGCCGTATTATTTTAGCTACTAGTACATTTGTAAGTAGTTATTTTTGACAATCGAAATATTCATCATGGTCATTTGGCTTGCATAGATTTGGTGTGTATATAATACATATATCTTATTGGCTAGTAGGGATTTCAATTTTGAGGTAGTATTCATCACGGACTGATATCAGTTGGAGGGCCATTGGAAACCTGAGAGCACTGGGAGGCCGTTTCCTCTTAATATGGGACTCCTTAGGACGAAACAGATATTCAGTGCCCCCAGGTTTTCAATAGTTCTCCAACTGACTTTTTCGCAGGAGCTATTTCCCATTGACAAAGTCATTTTTATACTTGAAGTAGACACTTAGAAACGGGTGGCATGAACTTTGAATCGACATAGAAGTGCAATGTTTTAGTGCCTTACCGGAAGTGGGTTGAAGCGTATTGATTGGTTTCAGTACCTAGGAAGTAAAACTTGGGAACTGTGGAGACTGAAATTCCATCTTAGTTTATTTATTGTATGCACTATACAGTGAAACAGTATTATTTATGGGATAAAATTTCAGGCGGAATTCGTTGTCCATATTCATATTGAGATACGATAATATCCCATCGTAAAGTAAATATCATAAAACGTTTTACCCGAAATGTGATTCAGTAAATAATACTGTTTAACTATGGGATACACAAACTGAAATGGGGGTGTTCAGGAATATATATTTTGCTACGATTAGCTGTCGCGTACTATCACAGTGTGTCCATCAACTATAGAATAATTAATACTGCATGTATTATACATACAATATATACCCGCGAATGCAATCGATCTGACTGATGAACAAATTTTTGTTATTTTCCATCTGTTTATCTGAGGGATATCACTGATCAGAGTGAACCTTATTCACTCTCCAAAACTACCAGATTAACACTAACGGGACTGTTTGCTAAGGAATTAGACTGAAAAACAAGATACTGATATTCTTCACGATTATTTTGAAAGAGGTGAGTTATATAACGAAATAGAGGGAAACGTAAATTATAAACCCATTACAAGTTTTTTATGTATTAGGCTATTAGTCTTATTGAATATGTTATGTCTTACAACAATATAGTTTTTCTCAGGTTGAAACAAATAAAATATGAGTTCGAGTCAGTGGTATATTGCTTGTAAGTCAGGGGCCTTGGTTAATGAGGCATGCCCAAACTGCATATCGTCATAACTAGAGTGTAAGTGACTGAATGTGGTCGAAAATGTTAGGTATGGATAAACCAATAGTAATAAATTATGATTAAATGCATTTTTAAACAATTCCCTGGTTTTACGACTTTATGTACTGTTTAGGCTCAACTTGATCTTCTGATGTCAGAAAAGGCAATAAAAGATGAGCATATATCAGTATCTACTTTAGCAAATGATATAGATAATCCGAATCAGAAAAATTCATCACCGGGCAATGATAAAAAAGATCACTGTGTCAATCCAACTTCAAATAATTTGATTTCTGAACAGTTAAGTGAACAAGTAATAACCAAAGAAATAATAAATAATCAACAAATGAAAGGTTATCCATGTCCACGATGTAATTATACAGCAAAATGGCCTACAGAACTGCAAAAGCATGTTATGGTACATGCTAATTCACGACCGTTTGTCTGTTGTGTTTGTGCAACTAGTTATAAATGGAGTTGGGATTTAGGTAGACATTTCACTAATTCCCATCCTAATTTACCGAATCCATATAAACGTCAACGTATTGGAAAGCAATGTTTACAAAAACAAGATAATTTACTATTGAATGAATAGATGCATTGACTGACTAACCTACGGAACTAATTCATCATTAACTGCGCCTACTAAACAGGGATAGACAAAGCACTGTTCTCCTTCTTATTCTCAATTTTCTTATTTTTGTAGATCAACATTTATTTATTTATTTTGTATGCTAACCAATGAAATAACTATCTTTTAATCCTATTAAACTATCAACAAGTATTATTTTTATTACGGTTATTAGTACTCAGAAACACAGAACACAGAAAATAAGCAAAAAAATAAGTAACTGTTCGTTTTCTTTTCTTTCTGAAGATGGAATATTTTAATTAGTTTAATCTTTAGTATTTTCTTTTACCATATCAGTAAAGATGTGAATTTTATTTCCTCATCTGTAGAGCTATAATCTTACTAACCTGTACATCATGATAATTTTAGGCTTTATTTCAGTAATGGCTATATAAAACTTGATTGTAAGTGCCATGCAATAAAAATGTATGAATAAAATGTGTTTTTCAATATTCAACCTATTGTAGATGCAATTGTGTCTGAAAGCTATAACCAGTAGTCATGCAATCACAGTTCAAATTATTTATTTTAAAAAGTCAAGAATCATGAAATTACGTCTAAAAGCAGTGACTCACAAAATAGTGGTAGAGCGATAGCAAACCTCAGTATAAATGAGAGGTGACGGAATCACTACTTATCCAGATGTAAGCGTAGGACAGATTTTTTATTATTAATGATGGGTAGTAGCTAGCAGTGAAATCCAGGACTCGCATTTTGTCCTATTCAGTCTTTGTTGGCTCACGGGCTCCGGTGCAGATGCATTGATATTCCCTGTCTCAATTTTATATGAATGATGGACTAATCAATTTGTTTCAATCAACGAAGGGATAATGCAAGTAACAACATAAAATCCATACCCGTAACACAATAAGTGGCTATCGTAACTAGGTGGCCTAATGGGTAACGCTCTGGCGTTTGGTACATTCAGTCCCAGGCTTGGGTCTTAGTGTCAACAATATGGTTCACTGGGAGGCAGGTACATTAAGCTTATGAGTCTCAAATAGGATAAAACGTGAGTCTCGGATCCCATTACAATCCAATATCCGTCACTGATATGAAATTGGAACAGTCATATCGAGGCATCCACATAGGAGTCCATATTACCAGTAGAGATTGATCAACTCGGTCCAATCAACGACGGGATTATATGAATAACAACATAGATTCTTCACTATAACAACCAAGTCCTTGACATACAAAGAATAATAAAGGGTATATCTACAGAGAAGAATATATATTGTTTTCAAAAAAGTGGAGCAGCTATGTTGTCAGTGAGAGTATTAGAAACAAAGAACAAGATTTTACTGAAAGTGTAAACTGTTTAAGATTGATTAGTATTAATGTTGTCAAAATATATGCTTGAATTATGGTTTGGAAGCTTGTGGTTAACAAAGTAAAAACCTACTTTTTCCACAAAAGCAGTTGTAGCTAACATGTAATAGGGAGTGATCCTGAGTAAATTTTGGTGAGAGACGTTTAGGACATAAAGAGGCCATAACAGTAGGGTACGGCATAAAAGTCACAGTAAGTTTGACACTTCTCAAAACTCACTCATTTGTAATGAGTGCGTAACCGATAGGGTGAGGGGTAGGTTTAGATGAGTTATCTGAATTACTGGTAGTTTTTATATATTTGAAAACCTCAGTTAGTGTTTCTGTAGCCACCGCGATACACCAATGTCAGTTATGTTACTGTTGCTATAACTGGATGGCTTGTTAGGTACGCTGAAAAACATGTGGATAATTTAAAAACCAGTACATAGTTTCTCATATATAAGGAATAAATGGAAATAATTGCAAAAAGAAGAAAAATGTAACTAGGCGACCTGGTTCAACTCCGTGTGGTAGGCAGTGGGCCATATCAATTAGTTGAAGACTAATGATACTACTTATTTACCATGATCTCATCTAATGAGATGAGAGGGGTCTCGAACTCCTACAACACTGGTTGAAATTTGAATACCTTGATTAAGAAGCCTGTTTAATCCTGAATATTATGAAAATAATTCACTAAGTTTGTATTTCTTCCCATACAACGCAAGGTGACAAGTTATATATAAGATAACATTTCGAATCGAGTTCAGTTTTGTAGATATAAGACTGCCTGTTGCACATTGGACCAATCAGAAGTCCCCCAGTAATGACTGCGGAGTCAGTCCCTTTAGTGCAGTTTTGTTTTCGACATTTCTTTGGCCTGTTGGTGTGGTGTGAAGGTTTTTCTCTCACCCTATTTATTATATATATATATATATATATATATATATATATATATATATATATATATATATATATATATATATAATATCAGCTGCAATCATAAAGCGTTACAGTTGACTAGACGCATCAGATGAAGTATATAAATTTTATCCTTCAATGCATTTTATTATCGAAATTCTATGGATTATGTGAATGGGTTAAAATAAATGCATAGGCAGTTTAATTAAGACTATATGAATTTGTGGTTCATAGGCTAATACATTCGACTTTGAGCCAGTGGGTTCTAGGTTCAAATCCGGTCCCACCTACTTCGGTTTGGGTGACAGAGAAGTATCATCAGCCTTAAAAAAGTAAGACTAATGGCGTTTATAGACATCAATAGTTACATCATTCATTATTGAATTACTGTTGTCATAATGTATATGACATGACAAATTCATAGTTTGGGAGGCGTTTATGTGAATTCATGTTCTAAGGCGGAGATCTTGGGTTTTAAAGAAAATAATGCCATATTATTGAAAGTTGGCTCTTCCATCTTTGCAGAATAAATATGATTTTAGTTGTTGACAATTATGGACAGTGTAGCAATATATATCCATTATGTGCAAAACAAGTACGTACTATCATGGCTACCTAAGAGTTTTACTTTGAATAGTTAGTTAGACTTCGCTTTTATCACTAATTTAACTATGATAACTGATCGTGAACGGGATTTCCCATTAACTCAATTATGGGACATAATTTACAGACAAAATAAAATATTTTGTTACTAATTATCCTAAATTCAACAAATAAAGTTCACCATCTAAACAACAGTGTTTTTTGATTTTCTGACGTTTTGAAAAACAATGTAATTGCAAACATAACGGATAAGTAAATTACAGAAGAGTTGAACAACAGTTCCATTATCTTATTTGTTGCCATTTAAACATTATGAGTATTAAGTTTCATCTCAAAGAGGAAAAGTATACATTCATGGATTCAATGAATATCTCAGGTTTGTCTCTGATGAACATGGAAGCCAGCCAGATCCAGAAAATGTACATGCTATCCAGAACATGCCTACTCCATCCATTGTCGCAAATCTATGATTTTTCCACTGTTTGATAAGCTGTTACAGTGTTTTCTTACCAGAACTCCATTGTTTGGGTGCCCCACTAAATCACTTGAAATGGATTGGACTTTTGAGTGCCAGTATGCATTTAATAGGCGGAAATTATTGCTCATGTCAGATATGTCACTTATTATGATCATAACTTTGAAATTATCGTTGCTGCAGACGCATCTAATTATGGCATTGGTGCTGTTACTTCTCATATTTTTCCTGGCGGTAAGGAAAAAGCTACTGCAAATGCTACTCAAACTCCCAGCGCATCAGGATACATATCTATTGTCAGCAGTTGCTTGACATTTGCAGATCGGGTGGTGGTTCTTGTTTGTCTCCGTAGCTACGTTCTCCGTTAACTTCATTCATCTCATTTTGAAATCGATTGCTCGCAGTTATGTCTACTGACCCAAGATTGAAGACGTTGTTCACCAACGCCATATATGTGCCCAAGCTTCAAACTGCCCACGAAAGACAAAACTATCCTCTTGAACACTACCAACAAAACCATGGTCTCTAGTACACGTTGATTTTGCTGGATCATTACATGGTACAAATTTCTTGGTATGTGTTGATGGGTGTTCGAAATGGCCAGAAATTTTACCTACGCAGTGCATAACGTCTAGTGCAACTGTGGCTCAGTTGCGTCAGCTATTTTGTCGTTTTTATATCCGTGATGTACTGGTAACTGATAATAGGACTCAGTTTATATCATCTGTATTCCTTGATTTTTTGCAAGCACTTTGGAATTCAGAATATTCATGCTCCTCCATATCATCCCCAGTTACGTGGTCAGGTAGAACGTCTCGTGAATACATTCAAGCGAGCTTTATCAAAGGCAAAGGGGGAAGGGACGACGGAAGAAATATTGAATAATTCCTCGCTACTTTACCGTACGCCACTAAATCCTTCAGCTCTGAGTTAGTTATCTCCAACAAAAACCAAGTCAAAAGTGTCCTCAACACAAATAAAAAGACTCAAAGGAACAAGAAAACGGAGAATCAGTTCAGTTGTCACTACCAGGTTTAAGTACCTAATTTTCGCTCTTCACCACCAAAGTGGGCACATGGGAAAGTAACTGGATGTAAGCGAAATGTCCTGTGCAAAGTGGACGTAGAAAGGAAGACACAGATCAGGCATGCAAATCATATAAGACTTTCAGTAGAAACAATGGACAAGAAGAAGAATTTTATGCCGAAAGTTTTGTTGAGTACTTTTGATGTGCATTTGAAAGCGAAGGCAGCCCATTTCCACTAGAAGGTCAGTTCGACAAAGAAGACCAAAGTCCCTCCAAATGGATCCAAAACAGAAGTTATACAATCTTTACGGGGGAGGTGATAAGAAGCGGCCTAAATAGAAATCAACATTTCGAGTCATCAGGCGCTAAGGTAGGCGTTCTGGATTTCAGTTTTTGTTTCATGCCACTATGTAGTCAGGAAGAACCTTGTTGAACAATTTATCCTACGGTTGACCAATCAAAATAAGTATTTAACTTTTGACTCAGTGGTTTTAGGCATTGATGAAAACCTTATGTAAGTGATGTGTTTTGTTGAATAAAGTGTCTTCCTTATGGTCACAGGTCGGTATCTGCCTTCTGATTTTCGCCACTTAGTAAAGAATACGGTTCTGAGGGAGAACAGTCT